TAAACAAATCAATTACACAAAAGCATCAATTAAAATTAACTCAATTTAGTTAACATAATGAGTATTTTGAGTGGCGTTTGTGGTTTCTTTTGCTCTATATTTTCTACAGCTTTTTTTTTCTGATTCTTTGTTTTATATAAAGATGTTAAGATTAGACTTTACAAAGTAATTAAACAAATGCACATTTTAATATATGGGAGCCCTGTTTTGTGCACTTACAGCTTTGTCTTTGTTTCCATTGTCTTAGTAAGAGTGTTTGTCTTATAAAGAGTGACTCTAACACCTGCATCTGTGAAACGGGTTCCATCATAATATGAAGGACGCCCACTCTTACCTCACAGTGGACATCGTTGCAGGGCACAAAAGCTTCCCGCTGAGAATGAGCAGCTTGTTTTCACAGCCTCACACAGGTCTTTCTTTTACCAAATGGAGCTCCCAGATCATTACTGTATCTACCATTTCACTGTGTAAGTGTGAACAATAAGAATCTAAGCATTTGCTCCTTTATATTTCCAAAAGCTGTTATTTAAATTTTTCATTTAGTTTCTGTAATGTTTAGAAAAAGTATTTCTAATCCATTATAATACCATTGCTGGGATAAGAGTGAATTTAGAATTATCAGGCCATTTGGAACTGAGACTCAATTATGAAAAAATTATATGCAAAATAAAGATCTAAACTCAAACTCTTATTAATTGGGAAAAAAGCACCATGCTTTGTTTGTAAAAAATGTCTATTTTTTAAATCTTATTTTTCAAGAGATTAGAAATAAATTCAGGAAAAAAAAGAAAGAAAAAGCCATATATGTCAGTCCACAGCCACGTGGGAAAACTCATAGGCAACACCTCACTATTTAATAGCCTCATTGGGCTATTTGTAGGACACGGCCTTCCGAGGTTTGAGTTCATGTCTGGCCACCTATTGGCCAAATGATCTTGGGCAAGCCACCTCCAGTTTTTTAAGGTTTATTTTATCCTCATCCAAGAGAGATGGGAAGGGGGAAAGAGAGAAAGAAACACCAGTGTGAGAGAGAAACACTGACGGGCAGCCTCCTGCATGCGCCCCAACCGAGGATGGAGCCCACAACCAGGGCATGTGCCCTGACAGAGAATCGACACTTCGTTTACAGCCAGGGAAAGCCGCCCTCCTTTTCCCACGCATGTTTTATCACCTCTAAATTAGGGCACTAATGATTCCTATTTTATTTCTTTTATTGAGTAAATGAATTTAGACAAACTTTGTAAACTGTAAAATATGTAACATTTGGAGATATTTTTCTTTATATTTTAGAAAAAATAATCTGATAGGGCAAAGAAAGCAAGGTGATTAACTAGAAGATCGTTTGAGTTTTTGGTGTGGAAGGGGAGTAATGAAATTATAGATTAAAATGGCAGTAAGACTGGCTGGCTAAAATTTGTTTCTTAATGAAAGGAAATGTTGGTGATTCGGTGATAGAGAAAATAAAGGGAAAAAAGTAATAAATAATTCCATTGTCAGCAGGACTAGAACTGCTAAAATGATAGGGCAGATGGTAATGGGAGGGGTAGCAAGAAGTTCTCTTCTGGACTTGACGAGATTAAAAGAGAAGTCAAACTACTTAAAGTAAGAAAACTGCATCAGTCGTCTTGTAACTGGGAAAGAGGCGCAGGACAGATGCCAGCAAGGACTGCGGAGGGAGAGCCCCCAAGCCTCAACTGCTTGAGTCATCTTGCCTCTGAACGGACGACTTTGGGACTGGACTTGCTCTAATTGTCTTTTGTTACTTGCCACCCAAACCATGTTAACCAAGATAAAATTTAAAAATTGAATAAAACAAAACCATAAAATAATCTTGGTAAGATAGCTAAAATGATTGCAGATATTTTGAGTCACAACTCCTTGTGTTTGCAAGGAGTCTATAATCCCTTGTGTTTGAGGACTATCTTTAGATATCTTAATGGCATTTTTTTAACTTCAAATTTCATCCCTTTGGAGGTGCAAAAAAGGGAAATTGTTTTTAGAGTAATAGCAGCAGCATAAAAAAATGAGATAATAAGTTTACTTGTAATTTCAATTAGAAGATTACTGATGTGTTTTTAAATGCAATATAAGATTTAGAGGTATAGAAACAGTGTTTAGTTCAGAATGCATTTATTTTGTCTTTAAATTAGGCATAATCACAGCCTACTGCAATTTTAGATATGAGTTGTTAGAAAAGATATTTTATTTTTATGACAATTGAATTGATCTACTTTCATAAATCCTACATGAAATTGAAATATATGGAGATGGCTTAGACCATAATCTTCTATAGTGATGATCTTACATCTCAACTCCTCTGTTCAGCAGAGAACCTGTAAAAGAAAATTTTTCCAGCACTCCTCAATTCTAATTTACTTGATAAAAGTTCAATTTACAATCCTTCCTAAGATATCTATAATAAATGAAGTGAGTTATATTTCAAGTAGGACTTATGAGCAAATAACACTGTGCTCCTTCCTGAAATTTTTGTCTATATATGACAAACACTTTTTTAAAGATGACTGCTAACTATTGAGCATAAGAATAAGAGCAAGCATTTATCACCATGGTGCTTATGTGCTAGACAGTGTGCGAAACAAGAACTATTAGTATTACCACTTTCCAGATGAGAAAACTGAGACAGAATGGGAAGGTAACTTGCCAACCGTTAAGAGGTTGAAAACAGATTATATGACATGTACATCCAGGCAATATGACTCTTGAGCCCATACGCATTTCATTAAACACTGCAAGACTTCAGATGGCAATAAAGTAGGTATATGTAGTGTAAGTGCCTGATGATAAGCTTTTTTATTGCAGTGTAAGTGCACGACATCAAGCTTTGGGTTGCTGAGGCACCCATTTCAAAGACATCCATCTTGAATAAACATTGACAGCTATGTGACCCAGCTACTCGCTAGACAACTGGGGAAGAAGCCAGGCCTCTCCCACCCATAAAGTTTCCCTTTGGAGCAGCCTGCAGAACCGACTGCTTGAGTAACCCTAATTTTCCCTGCCTGCCCACTACTTCCCACGAAACCCCAGGCACTCCTCCCTTGACCCAAACAAAGGCAGGCACCCAAGTCTGTACACCCTCTCTCTCTCTTCCTGTTGGCTGCTGCTGAGGTGCATCTGGCAATCATACCAAGAACCACAAGGGCAAGCCCAGCCATGACATTGGCTCAAGGTGGAGAAATGCCTCTGGGGGCGGCCACGAGCAGTAATGGGCCCAGGTGAGTGCCTCCCAGCCAACAGCATCACTATCCATAGGCTGAGAGCCAACACGGAACAGTATATCATTGCTTATGATTTTAAGTACTTAAACACTTATTTTTTAAGTAGGTTGTGACATCTGGAAACCTTCTTAAACATTGTATTTAAAAATTCTTCAATACATAAAAATTAGAGGAACAAGCCATTTTCTGGCCCAGAGCTTCCTACACCTAAATTGGTCTGAAGACATAGGATGGTCTCCATAACCACACAGTGGCTGACTCTTTCGAGTGATGAAACCAAATGGTATCGCCACTCTCCCTAAAGTCATCGAAGAGTTAGAGAGGAAGAGCCCATGACCGCTGCTTCTTTAGAGCTTTAAAAGAAGTAGCTAAACTCTGGTCTAGAGACCTTGAACCCCAACTCTCCTTGTCTTCACCACTTCTGAACTTCCCTCTTCCAGCAGCACCACAGAAATTTTGTTTGCTTTGACTTCGTTTTATTTTTTTCTTCTTCTTGAGAGTTAGATGTCCACAGATGATCTATGATCTGAAAGGTGATTCTCACCCCAGACCTTCCTACTGATAGATCTGACACTCTTCTGCCATAATCAAACCTCGTTCACTTAAGAACACCGTGTTATGGAGTTCGATTTCCTAATATCTGGATGTCCTTGGTGAAATATTTATATTTGCTGTGACTTACCTCCCTCATTTTGAAATCAGGACTGTGACCTGCTTCGGAACGGTTCTGGGGGAATCAAGTGAGATTATCTACTATACGGCTAGGCGATATCTGGCATATGATTAGACACAATGGTTACTATTTTTAGCATTAAGAAAATAATTCCATAAGATTCTCTTTCTCCAGATTCAGGCATCACTGTTATATCTTGTGTTTTTTTCCTTTAACATTTATTTGTAATATGTATGTAAACATTAACTTGGAATATGTGGCACTTTTACGTAAAACAGCCTGTATAAAACATTTTTAGTGTTTCAGCTGCAGTCACCTTGGTGTTTGATTAATTTCCCTGGTACCATAATTGTTTCCCACCAAGATTTCGAAATTCAATAGTCTGGATGTCTATTCTACTTAACTTTTCCTTATAAATAAACCTGTGTACATTTAATAGCAAATCCATAATATATTTGCTATTAAATTAGATTCATTTTATTTTCTCTATATGCTGCCTTAATTTTATATGGTATAGGTCCTCAGTTTTTTTGAGGGGTGGAGGAAATACATTCTTAAGTGTGAAAGAAGAAAGATTAACCTTCTATTCCAAGGTTTCCTTTCTATTCTTAGCTAAAAAAAGGAAAATAACTAAATAATAAAACTTCTAATCACATAATTAACATACATGTCCCCCTAAAACACATTACAAATATCTACATACAATTCACAAAGAATTTCTCTGAAAACTTTATTCAACAGAAATATAAATAACAGCCTTCAAAGTAGAATCTAGGAAACATATTGTTAAAGTACTCTGGTTTCATTTATCAGTGTCATGATGCTATTAAAAAATAAAACAAAATCGAAATTACCAGTGACATTTTCCAAACAGTAGGCTGTTTCCTGTCATCTCCAGCAAATGATACCAAGAAATGATATAACTTCTTCAGTTTTAATAGTCACATCTGTGAAGCTAAGGACAGTGTATAAATAGTTGACTCATGGAAAAAGAGAAAATGTGAAATATCAACATAGCTTGCAGCCATCTGGGACGCTCCGGCTCCTGCTACCACGGCTAGCACGCGTGTTCATCGACCAGCTTCCTTCAGTCAACGCCATATCCTGCAGGTATTATCCTTGCTGCCTATTAAGACAAATTTCACAAAGCTATTTTTTCTTTATTTTATTCACTTCACTCTCTCTTTTTACAAGTTGACATTTTCTGGGTCATTGTCAATTTTCAATGTGCCAAATGTGCTAGATTCTCAGTGCCCAACTACCAAGCCTCTGAGACGTTCAGCTCAGGTATCTAGGGAATGGGAATCTTTTTCTCTTTCTCTCTCTCTCCCTCCCTCCCTTCCTCCCTTCCTTCCTTCCTTCCCCCCTCCCCTCAAGCATTGCCACCAGGTAGAAAGGCGGTGAACTTGAACAGCCCCAGGGTCCAGGTGTCCGCACATGAGAAGAGAGTGCATTCCACTTTAGAGCATATCAAAATGTCAATAGACGTTTCTCATCATCAGTCAAAATGTAAAATTGGCATCCTTCCTACACTCCCCACTACGCTGACAGACACTCTTCCAAAGCAGCCTTGTAATACTCCCCCTGCCAAGGGTCACCTTTCATATTCCCTGTATGGAAATGACAGTCCCAGTGTGGTTTCTCCAGAGGCTCAATGCATATCATCAACATAAGCAGCAGGGGTGCTACTGGGTTAGGAAAGCCTGAGAAAACTGCACGTTCCACCAAAAGCACCTTACACTTTAAAAATGTAGTGACCATGCTGGCTAATTCTCTTTCAGTGTGCAGCTCTAACCCTCAGCTCAGGCAGCCCTCTAAAGCACGCATGGTGGACGCTGGGGTAACCAAGAAAAGGGGGCCGATCGATTCAAAGAGATGGCTCTGCTGTTGGCAAGACAAGCCTATCACACCCCCCCCACCCCGTTCTGATAAGCTGTGTCGCCCAGTAGGCAGGTATTTAGCACCTGGGTGCCTTGGGATACACTAAATAAATAAAAATACCATTCAAAGAGCTCAGGAACCTACATGCCAGCACTAAAACAAGGCCCAAACCAAGAAGATTCCTCCCCGAAGCTCTCCAGGGTCTTTGTGAAAGCTGGCTGCGGGAGGCGGTCCTGCGCAGTTGCCCCACAGAGGCTCATGACTGGGAAAGGCTGGAACTCCGCCAGCCCAGCCCTGCCTCCTCCTTCCTGCTTGGCAGCAGCTCCCTGAAGAGCATCTTGTGCCTGTAATCGCTGTCCCCTACTCTTTCCTTTTCCTGGGAAAGGATCTGACGTTCTGTTCACAATAAAAGACATGGCTTCTAGTAGTACTCTCTTAGGAGCAGCCACATTTTAGTAACCCTCGCAAATCATAAGCCCAAAGAAAGTAACCTGCAATTTTTGGACTTATTCATAATTCAGTAAGAGGGGGGAGGTATTTTAAGGCAAAAGGGGAGCTGATTTACAGACCTCCTGATGTTGCATGACTATGAAGCAGCCGATTTACAGGGCCAAACGCGCCTATGTGACATTGAACTTATTAGTCAGGTAAGCAATTTTTAAATTTAGTCAACACAGTGGGCCTCACTGAGAGTGAGGCATACTGGGTCTTCCGTAACTTCTTAGGGTGTCCCTGTCCTACAGCGTTGTAGCAGCCACCCCTGCCAAGCCTCCTCCAGTGGTACCGCGCTGACATCATACCATATTCTTGTCATTTTTCTCTCCTTTCTGCAATCTAAATTAACCTGTTCTCGATCCAGTTCTCATAAAATGTTGTTAATATGATTAATTCACAATAAAGTGTGAATGGTTGAAAAAGATGCTCAATAAGTGTTTTCTTCTCCAAATATCTGTACATTAGCAGGGAACATCAAGGAAAAAACAACTTTGCTCAAAGAATAAATCTCTAATGAGCTAAAATCTGACTGCGCAGAATCCAGGTCCTGTCTTGTTTTAGCTACTAATACCGAACGGACATCAGCTGGATATTAACCATTTGATGGATGATACCTGGGGAAAGGTAGTAAGCAGCAAGGCAGGCTACTGACTTCTTAGTTTATGCAGAGCAACGAAAATGTAAAAGCACAAAGCCTTACAGTCAGTGGCAGGGCTCACTTCTGTGGTTCCATGATGCAGCTAAAATTAAATAATAAGCCTAGAACCCCCTAAGATGACCAGGGCCACTGGAAGAGAGGGAGGGATGGCAGTGAACTTCTTTTGTATTCAGCGTAGGATCCCTACTGGCTAACTTAAAAGGAAAACCAAGTCGCTGGTGTTTTATTCCCGCCCCCCACCTGTAATGATTATGTTGCCTTTGTAGTTGAAAGCACATGAAAAGATCTCATCAGTGTGTCCCTCGAGCACCTGAAGGCATTGGCCAGTCTGAGCATCCCAGATTCTTGCTGTTTTGTCTGAGCTGCCTGTTAGAAGACGGTTCCCTTGGGGGTTGAAAGAAATCTACAAAAGAGAAAGAAAACACCATGAAATGTTTGTGTAATGATTCCCAACATATTTTTAATCAGGAAAAAAGGGACATTACTAAGCACCTGTCACCTTTCCAGCCTGGTATTTATTCTTACACAGAATGGTTCCTCCATGGTGGGAAAAAGATTGCAGGGACTAATCCATGCAAATTAAAATCTAGACAGAAAAGTGTTAGTGCTTATCCCCTCCTGATTCTAAGGACAAAGGCCAAAGCACCCTTATTGTCTGAGCATTCCCCACCCACTTCTTTCCAAAGACACGTGATGGCTTTCTTCATGCAAACAAAGAGGCTGAGAACCCAAGCCAGGCTCCTTCCTACCCAAACCCAATGCTACCTGTGCAACCCCACTCCTGCAGCCAAAAGCACACAGTCTGTGCCACAGGATAAGGGAACATCAGGGCCTATGAGGGGGGACTTCTGTCTATTGCTACGCAAAGTGCAGCGCTTTCCATTAATGTGTTCTGAGTGTCTCCTGAGTGCCAGGCATTGTCTGATGGTCTCTCAGCAGTCAAAGAAAACTGTTGCTTTTCCATTCCTTTGGGTACCATGCTTAGCACCCTCTCTGAATCAGCAGGAGACAATGATTTGTGCCACCTCCTCTATGACCGAAGGTTCGATGAAGGCTGAGCCATATGTTTTTTTCATCATTGTGTCACCGATGCCAGGAGCAGTGCCTAGCACGGCAGACGTCTCAAAAAGCACTGGCAGCATGAATGACTGACATGAACTCTGACTTTGGCACGCCATAGAAATGGTATTACTGGGCAGCAATTCAAAACGTAACATTTCACTTAAGCATAAAATGCAATAACGCAGGATCTTAGAACTCTATATCCACACACACGCACACACACACAAAATAAATGAACAATTGTGGAGTACAGCACACCATATATGTCAATGTCCATCAAGCCAGACACTCAGAAATATGACGCAGGCTCACCCCTCAGCCTGTTTTCCATGTTCACACTGGCCCCATCCCCGCTCCTGCCAGCCCCTGAGGCCTCCTAGCCCATGAAGGGAATGTGCTCTGCACGGCCTTGGAGACCAGGCCTGCTCGGCTGGCAGTGGTCACCAGCAGCAGGTGCAGGTCCGGGAAGGGAGAGAACATGGCAAGGGGGTGGGGTTGGGCTCCAGGTAGAACCTTCAGAGACTTGAAACCATCAAGCTTGTGTTTGAGAAGGAAGAAGCAAATCTGACCTCAGGTATGAGATCAAGGAATCGGGCTGAGCTGGGAGGCGAGAGTCACCAAGTCCCAGCCATCCCTAAAATTTTCTGAGGACACATCTAAGCCTCAGGTCACCAACTGGATGGCCCTGCTCTGTGAATATGCTTTTGGGAGAAGTTTATACAAAATTCAAAGCTACAACCTTGGAGTTTCAAACTAGGTCATTTTAAACTTTGTTGAATGATAAATATTTCCATGGAATACTTCCTCAATTGAATCTGGTTTACAGAACACTTAATAATTCTACATGATGTTTTCTTTGCACACTATAAACTCATGTGTCTACTACAACCAGGACAAGCACTTGGTAAGCTTCTTAAATAGCTTTAATAAGTGCTTCCCGCTAACTAAATCTTTTGCTGATGGCTGAGGGGAACACTGTTTATAGTTTTTGAAAAGTTTTAGACATCATTTATTGTACTGAATTTGAGGACACATTTAAAAATAAAGTCTTTAGGCAATTGATTTCTAGAAAGAATGAGATAATTGGAAAAACCTTAGTAGCTTGGTGCCAACATACCAAGCATCCTTCAACATACTATTTTTCCTTCAACAAACTATTTTTTGAAAGGAAATAAATTGCTCCAAATGAGAAAGCAACTCACCTTTGAAATCTCACCTTCATGACCTTCCAATTTAGCAATGCATTTTCTTGTGGCTGCACTGAAAACTCTTGCTGTTCCTTTTTGAGAGGAGTGGGGATGTATATATATAAATTCATCTGAAATACAAAACTTTGAACCACATGCCTTAAATTGTCTAAATATCTATCCCTCTAACACACAGCTCTCTGCTAGGTTTGCCTTCTTGTCTACGATAAGAGCCAACCACTTGACTCTGTCCTGCTGTGGGTAAGAGCTTATTGCAAGAAATAATGGGTTCCAAGGTAGGAAAGGCAGAGAGACACCAATTTAGCACGAAAAAAGATTTTAAAGGGAAAAAGAGGGAATGAAAACAAGTCTTTGATGAAATAAACACAAAGTTCAGCATCAAACACCAAATATGAGTCTAAGGCTACGGAAGATGTGAGCAGCTGCCCTGAGAAGGAACAGTGGCCACCACTCAACGAACAAAGAAGGGCACGATGAAACCCTTTTCAACAGAGAGAGCCAACAGAATGGTTTATTCCTGTTTCCCTGGTGTATCCGCAGTGCTCAGAAGTGCCACTCAATAAATAGGTATACTGTGGGTAGGTAGATGCACGGATGGGTGGATAGATAGATAAATAGAAGAAAAAGTATATGTTTCTTTAGAATTGAGGAATGTAAGAGTTAAATAAGCACAGAGGACAAAAAAAGCAGTACTACAATTGTTGTCAGAAAGAAAGGTAAAATCTGTCAGGTCAGGTGAAGGATGCTTTCTTAGTGCAAATTACAGCACTACACACAGGTGAAACTAGAAAGGATAGGGTGTTTTGGTCACTTAATTTTCTTTCAGAGAAAAGCAAAATATCTTAAATTTTTACTTACCTTTCTTGACAATGTCAACTCAGGAGGAAGTAGACAAAATGATTAAAATTGCTATTTTAGAATTAATATAGATAAAAACATAAAATTTGTCACTTAGTGGGACATTTCAAACACCTTAAAGGAAGGTGACCAACTTGTTTTAAGAGTTTGTTAATAACATAAAAGGGAATATCCTGCATAGAGCAATACTTTAAATTAACACAGAAGCATTTTTAATCTTCAGAAAACACAGAAAAAAGATAACCTGAAACTGTAATTTTTTAAAGATAGAAATATGAGTAAGACAGAAAATTAAGCTTTGAGAGTAATTCCAATAAGATAAAGGAAATATAGAGAAACACATGTAGTTGAAGAGGTAACTCACTACATTGATAAATTTAATTTTAAGAAAGAAATGAGGAGCAAAGGCCAGAGATAGATAAAGAAGATTGGTCTAAACATCAATACTTCTCAGGAGGCACAGAATGAGAAGAGGTTTACAAAAGACACCAAAAGAAAAAAAAAAGTCTTTTGAAGTAATGTCTTATTAAACAAAAAGAATAGAATCATTGCTAGGAAAAATAACAGATCAAAGAAAAACAAACCTAGAAGAATTGAACTTGCATTTTATTCTTATCCGTCCCTTCATGTCCTGATCTTCCAATCCTGCTTGTTCCCCACCTCCCGTAGCGCTGACCAACTCCTACCATTCCGTATAATTTAATCTTCCACATAAAACAAATGTATGGTACTGCTCATTGTCTCCCTCTCCATGAGAGCAGGGATTTCTGTCTCTTTTGCTCACTGACATACTCTCTGTTTCTAAAACAATTCCTGGCACAAAGTACTCCATATATGCTTTTATTGAATGGAGCTTTTGTATAAATGAGAAGGATATTTAAAATGAAAAAAACAGATTAATTACAGTTAAGAGGTGATTTTTAAAAGCAAAAAAAATCTGTGAGAAAATTAAAATATAAGTAGTTACTTTAAAAAATAATATTGTTCACTGCTTTCCACGGTGGTTACACCAACTGGCATTTCCACCAACAGTGCAAATATGGAGATACCTCAAAAAATTAAAAATGGATCTGCCTTTTGACCCAGCAATCTCATTTGTGGGAATATACCTGAAGGAACCCAAAACACTAATTCAAAAGAACATAAGCACCCCTATGTCCATTGCAGCGTTATTTACAGTCACCAAGATATGGAAGCAGCCCAAGTGTGCATCAGTAGATTAAGTGGATAGAACAGCTATGGGACATTTACACAACGGAATACTATTCAGCCATAAAAAAGGAGAAAATTTTACCCTTCGTGACAGTATGGATGAATCTGGAGAACATTATGCTAAGGGAAATAGGTCAGTCAGAGAAATTCAAATGCCATATGATTTCACTCATATGTGGAATCTAATGAACAAAATGAACAAACAAGCAAAGTAGAGATAGACCCATAGAGAGAGAGCAGGGTGACAGATAAGGTAGAAGAGGTTAGGAGGGTAGAGGGATTAAGCAAAAGAGAAAAAGGTTTCATAGATATGGACAACAGTGTGATGGTTGAGGCAGTGGGTAGATTAGGGGAGTGTAAAGGGACTAAATGGTAATGGACAAAAATTACAATAAAAAGTAAAACTGTCCAGATTCAGAGGGTTTATATTTCCATAATGTAAAAACAATTTGTATATATGATCAAAGAATTGCCTTTGAAAATCCAAGTAAGCAACTGCAACTTTAAAAGGGAGACAATGACGAAATAAAAACTGGGTAATTAAGATGAATCACTAGCAAAAATAATATAACGGCATAGGTGGTCAACAGGGAAATGACACAAATGTATTGTAGCATGACATGTGGTCTTCTTGAAATTGAGGCACGTAGTGTAGCGCCAGCCATGGTTATCAATAAGATGACACAGGCATAGTACAGAATCATAAGTAGTAATCAAGAATATGTTGTATAGCAGAGCATCATATATGTTCATCACAAAGATCTGTTAGACATAGTGGAGCAGCACGTGAAGTTATAAAGGAGACAATGCAGATTTTTTATAATAGAACCATTGGCAGTAGTCAGGCTGATGAGGTTGACATTGCGTAGCATAATGCATGAACATCAGGGAGATGGCCTGGAACATACCATTGTATACTGCCATCAAGGAGATGATGAAGACCTTGTATTAAACCACAAGTGGCTGTCAAGGTGGTGATGCAGACCTTGTACAACATCACACGTGGTTATCAGAGAATGGTACAGATATAGTGTGGTAACATGCATGGATATCACATAGATGAGGCAGATATAGTTTCTATCATAGCTGGTCATCAGGGAGATGACCTGCAGTGTAGAATCACACATAGTTTTCATATAAAGCATAAAACCCTCCACAAATTAAATGTATGAACAGATGTCCTACCATCGGCTGACGCAGTTGCGATAAGCTTTCCAGCATAATCAAAACAGCAGTCTAGAATTTCATCATCATGGCCTGTTAATGTTGCCAAGCATTTTCCATTTGTAGCATCCCACAACTGCAATTAATAAAAAGAAGAAGACTGTGACTTCTTGTTAAAATGCAAAGATGGCCAGGAGTAGTCCTTAGGGCATATTTATGGCTGGTTAAATAACTGTGCCAAAATCATGCGTATAATTTTCACACATTCTGTTCATTTTACCTTGCTTTTTGACAAGAGATCACAGCTAACCAGCTGACAAGGCACACTTTCGACACAGAGGGGATGAAAGAAAGACATTTAGAGTGGCTGGTGCAAAACCGACACTACGTTAGGGAAAAAAATATCTCAAAGTGCACACTTCCCTGATTGGAGTGGAAATGTCCTCTTTTCATAACAAGGAGCTTGATCTAAAACTAAAATTCCAGAAAATGAAACGTTCATTAAGATTATAATAGATTTGATATATAATTAAGTAATAGTTTCAGAGTATAAGTTCTTAGTAACAGAAACTTAAAAGCAGGGAGACACTGTGTTGTGACTTCTTGAGCTTCACTCTAATCAACGTTTGATAAATTAATAGAGGGACAGTAAACAAAAATAATGTGCCTTTTAAAAATAATACCTCTAAATACATTTGAATCAATTAAAGTTGTTTTACTACATCATAGTTCCTTTAAACTTGAGGGATCCCAAACTTGAAATTTAAAAATTACCAGTTATTATTTATAAGTTAATGTGTTACGTTTATAGCACCTTAAAATCTGTTAACATTGCAGTGAGTACCTGACACAGTAAAAAGCACAGACGTGAGAATTATAAAGCAAAGCCATTTCTTGAGCTCACCATGCAGGTTTTGTCCATAGAGCCAGTCAGTATCATAGAGCAATCCCAGTTGAACAAGGCACTGCTAATCTCAGCGCAGTGCCCAATTAAGGTGTACACCTTCCTGCAAAACGGAAATGACTCATAGATGCCTTACATCAGCATATGTCCAGAGTTGGGATGGCAAGCCCATTCGTGTAAGAGTCTAACTACTAGTTTTCACAAACTAATGTCTTTGACAACTCAACAAAGATGGCTTTGCTGGAGCTCAAAAGGAGTCTACTACTTTAATTTCAACAAAAACATACTTAAATTTTAAACAATCAGAGGTAACATTACTTAAGACAACATTTCAGAAAGGCATGGATAAAAAAAATAAAGGCAGTCTGAAATTCTGGAAGTATTCTTACACCAGAGGAGTGAACCCCTGGTAGCTCAGAAACTACCCATCGGTGTCTGCAGGACCCCTCCTGCTCCCTCGTTTCTTGTTGCCTCCATCTCCATCAGTACCTCTGGTGATGGCCCCTTCTCTCAAAATGCAGACAAGCCCAACAGTGCAGCTTAACAGCACAAAGTGGCTAATTTCGTTCACTTCTTAGCAACTAGAACCAAAAATAACTAGGAAAGAAAGTGAAGTCCTCACACTAAATCATTTTTGGGAAATTAGCCGTAATTTTATTTATTCATGATAGCCATGCCTACCATACTGATAAGCCATTGAAATTTGATTAGCAGTATAACGGATAAATAACAGCTATATAACCAAGTTATTGCTACCATTGCCCTTTCATGTTGCTAATTGGCATTCTTTGTTCAGAATTCTGAGAAATCACATATTTTTTGTGGGTCGGGAATATTGTTAATGAATGAAATACTTAATCGTGTCCTATTCCTATGGAGTACAGAGCACAGTTAACACATTTAGACTAACAAATAAATAACAAAGATTTGTCTTAACCTTCTGGACCAGGGTGAAAAATTCTTAAACATGAAGAATACCTTCCAGTACCAGCATCCCACACAACAACTGTGTGATCAAAAGACCCTGTGATGATTCTGTCTCCTGAGGTGTTGAAGGACAAGGAGATGATTTCAGATGAATGTCCCTAAAAAAATAGAGCAGAGCAGATATAGTCATGCACACTTTAGATAAAGCAAGTGCTACAAATGTGTAATATCAACACCTAAAAGAAAGTTCCAGAAAAGACAAATCTCTACATATAGGGGGGAAAAGCTTCACGGCTGGCTGGGGTAGGAATGGGGAGTGACTGCAGTGGGGCAAGAGGTGCCTTTTTAGGATGATGGAAATGTTTTAAAACTAGCTTTTTGGGATGACTGTACAATTTTGTGGGTTTACTAAAAATGGACATGCACTTAAAGCAAGTCCATTTTAACTCAGTACAGCTGTTTGTTAGTTTATTTGCATTTTAAAGGAAGAGGGCATGTTTTGGGAAATCAGAAGGCTCCTTTCACAGTGTCTTGGAAACATGAAAGAGGGCTGTAGGCTTTACGGGCCAACAATAAGTGATGGGTAGAAGAAAAAAGTTTGCCAAGTTCATAACCTTAAAATAGAAATTCTTAATGACAATTGAACATGAATTGATTAGTAAATATCTGGCCTTTGGCCTGACTTCCACCTGGTTAGGGTCTAGAACCGATGACTTTAACAGAGACAACGAGAAAAAACCCCTCTCTACAGTAGATTCTGCTTGGAGAAGAGCCCTCGTTTTCCTAATTATTTTAGTACACTCACATAATTAGTTTTTAAAATAATACAAAAGTTCATTTACAAATTAAATTTCTGGTTCACTCCAAATGACAAAAATCAAATGTAGCTAAGTGTTAAAATTCTGAACATACACACAAAATGTAATCTCTGGCAGGACACGGGTGTGCAGAGCAGGGCTCACCCTTTTGAATGTTCTGGAAGAAGAAGCGGTAAACTTCTACAACAGAACCAAAAAAACAAAAACTTTGGAAAATATTTTTTAGCCAGTGACCCACAGCAATGATGAGAACGAAGATCAGAAAAATACTTTTTTAAAAACACTAGGCACGCACACACAAAAAACTAGGCACTCTGAGTTAAGAAAGAAAAACTCTTGCTGTTAATTAAAAACACTGGGTTTTTTTTTCCTCTCTTGTTTTAGGCCATTATTTTAACTTTCTTAGAAAAAGTTCTCCTAGAAAAGTGTTCCTATTTTTTTAACTCATTTATAATTTGAAAAGATAAGAAAACTGGATTTCCTATCCAGCCATTCCTACTTACTGCCACAGAGAACTGCTCTATTTTTGCTGGGTAGTTTGGAATGGAGTGGAAAGAAGTGGAGGGTAGCAGGTCACCAAGAGGGTGCCAGACTTCTGGTGGTGATAGACAGGGGCCCAGTGGAGACATAGCACCAGCATTCACTCTGAGATAGTGCCCTTTGGCCTGTTTCTCTCCATTACTTGCATCTGGTCATTGCAGAGTTTGCTTAATATAGAAGGCTGGAGGGTAGAGGAGAAGAGAGCCACCAGTCATCCTTTGAGGAATCTTCTGGCAAGCTTCCCCAGTTCTGCCTCTTCTTAAAAGTGCCAGCCTCCACCTACTTTGCTTTTAGCCAGAGAAATGACGATAGGTGTTAAGCTATAATCGGTGTGGTTCGTAGGCTGAAGTGGGTCAAAATAAATACAGCTTCATCTGGCTTCTTCAGCCTGTCCAGCCACATCGTTAGGAACAGGCAGCAAAACTATTGGAATGCTCTCTCACTCCTGTCTAAAAACTGTCGTCTAACTTAGAGCTAATTTTGTAATAAAAATGCAAACAAAGACAAACACAAACAATAGGCTGCTCCTAAGGAATGGCTGATAAAAACAGAAAACTCTTGAAGTGACTGGCATTGTTAACATACGGTTAACGTGACTACTTCCTCTCCATTCTGAATGTCCCACAGTTTGGCCATTGTGTCCATACTTCCCGTAGCCACCAGTGTGCTTTGAGGATTGAATGATAAACACACCTGGATGACATGAAATGAAAAAGGGTTTAGAGAGAAAGAGTTTTAAATGGTTAACTTTTTATATAGAAAAGCTTCAAGATGCATTACCTTAGCAGATTCAGCCTAATTCTCTGTACAAATACTCAGTGAAAGACCAACTCTGAGCAGCCAGCAACCGACAGGTTGCATTCTGAAGCAATCTCCCCTTGAGAGGAAGCTGCTTGCTCTCTTGCAGGGGGCACTGGGTCTCTCTACCACTTCCAGACCACAGAAGGACAGGAACAAAACCCATCGCCTTTGAGATTCGTGCTACATGGCTCCTATCTTCCTTGTAGCTATCATCACAGTTCTTTCGATCATGCCTCTTCATTCACAAGGGCTTTGGCTATCTGCTCAGTCTCAACCCGAAGTCCTAAGTGGCCTTTGTGGGAACTAGCCATCCAATATCTCCAGACTCTGACACCGGACTCTGTTTCATAATCACTCCCAGGGCCACATTCCAGACCTTGACATCAACTTCTCCAGGAGATTCACTACCAATACACCAATCTCTACCTACAGTTTCTCAGACTTCAGCTTTCATTCTTCCTTATCACACCCCTCCCCCAACCAGGATACCTCCCATCTCATTAAGACCCTTTCCTTTCCTCATGATCCCTCATCTACCAGTCAACTAACACCCTGGAAGCATCCCTCCTGCCAGCATACTCAACACTCTTAGTTCCTATCTTTCAACTGCACCACCCACAAAATTCCTAGCAACTTGTATCAAGCTGAAATTTTATCCACTCATTTGCCCTCCCTATCTCATCATTCAGCAAAAGCAGCTTAAGAAAACAGCAGAGCAGATTGCTGGTATTGCTCCTTCATGCCTTCTGTCCTCATCTGCATCCTCAGGCCCTACTTTGTCTAAGATGTCTTTAGTTCACTACATTCTCCCATCCCCCACTCTTGCCCACACCCCCCCCCCCCCCCCCCCGTGCTCATCCCTGCTTAGCTGATAACCTGGCCTCTTACCACTTCCCTGAGAAAACTCACCCATCAGGTGGGAATTTCCTCACTGAGCCTCACTTTCCTGTTCTTCAGTCTCAGATTCAGAGGGATCACTTTGCCCAATCTAAAACACTGCCTTCTTCCCTGCACTCCAAGCAGAAGTGCAAACAGACTAAATTCCCCCCAGTGACTTAAATAGGCCTGAGCTTTCCCCACATAACAACAAGTCCTCCCTTGACTCTACATACCCCTTAACTACCTTCTTTTCCCTTTAAGCTAAATTCCCTGCAAAAATAGTCTTCCATCACTTAGCGTTTGCCCACTTTCCACTCTTTAGTTCAACTTAACCACTCTGGCTAAATGTCTAATCCAAAGGGTATGGCTGATCTTTTCACTTAATCTCCCTGAGGTTCTAGGTATTTTTCTCCTTCTTGACAGCTTCGACAGTGCTCTTACTTCTTATCTCTCTTTCATATCTTTTGATTGTTTCTCTTCTCCATCTTGCTAAGAGTTCCATCAGTCTTCTCCCTATACTCTACATTTTCCTTTGGGAAATTTCAATTGTTCGATGGTTTCTATTGCCACCTAGATGCCAATGACCCATATCCATGTCTCCCCCACAGACCTTGATGCTCAACCGCAAAGAGCCAACTACCAAATAAATGTCTGTGTTTGGTTATCACACAGGCAGCTTTTATCAATCTGTCTAAGACACATGAGTCATATGAAGCAAACCTGTTCCTTCTCTTTTAGGTACAGAATTGGCAAATGATACTACAAGTCATCCAAGCCTGAAATCATCCTGGACTTCTATTCTTTCCTTCATGCATCATATTGACCTGGTAACCTACTCCTCACACCCCCAACCTCTCTCACATTCTCCTCACCTGCCTCTTGGCAAGCTTTCATTATTTTTGCTTGGACTGCAATAAAGACCCCCGCTGGCCCTTAGTTCTATTTTACCCACCTCCCATCTCTCCTTTATACTGCCAGGAAAATAGACCATGCCAGCTCTCAGTTAAGAAGTCTCAAGAATACAACACTACCTACAGGGTCAAGTCCAAATTCCCTACTATGGCAGACAAGACCCTTTATATGTCCACAACATGGTCTCTCCCACATAAGTCAAGCATACCTTGTGATCTGGCTTTGAATGGGTTACAAGTATGCTAGGACATCGATGCCCTCAACCTGGGCAGCTGGATAATATCAGAAATCCTTGCGTGTCTGGTGTGGAGAGCAAGCAGCTCTCCCCAGTGTGCTGCAAATCCGCATTAGCATATTCTGTGCCTGTCCTCACAAGGAAGTTTGAGAAGCACTGCTCCGCCACACAGAGCCCTGTGAGTGCTCAAGCACATGCCGCTGTTGCACACGCCGCTGTTGCACACCGTGCCCGTGCGGCGCCTCTACCTGGAACACACATGCCACTCCTTTGAAAAGTCTTTCCTGAACACCACCCCTGGCCAAGAAGCTTTGACCACTCCCCTCTGTGCCCTCAGCAAACTCCCCACCAGCCTCTAGACACTTAAAACATGTCTACTCCTCCTACTAAACTACAAAATCCCTGAAGAGCAAGAGCTAGGTCTGATCCTGGTTTGGTACCCCAAGCACACAGGCCAGGGTTCACACACAATTACTACTTAGTAAAATATGTATTGGATTTATGTTGGCCATGAAAAATATGAATGTCTTCCTAGGAACTGTACATAAAGACCTTTTCAAAATTCCAAGGGAATGTGGAAACATGGCCACACTTTGGTAATAAAGACTCTGTCTTTCTTATGACTGTGGGAAAAGTAATTGAACTCTCTATGCCTCAGCCTCCTCAACTGTACAATGGGGAAGGACCTCTCCCTTAGGGTTGTTATGAGGCACAACCAAGCTAATATATACATATGTGAAGGGCTTAGGAAAATGCTTTGTGCACACTGAATGCCATTAAAGAGTCAATTATAATTCTTCACGGCAATATCCTCCGTGTCTAGCAGAGTATCTGGAAAGCAGTGAGCTCTTGTTGGATGAATTTTAAGGATGACTATAAATACATTTTACTCCTAAAATAAGCACCCTGTTTATTTTTAACAGCTATCATTTGTTCCACAGGCTGTTAATTATCTCACTAACTGCTATATGATGTATCACAGAACTGGCCAAGGGCAAGGTCTTCCCAATAGTAGAAGCTATTTAAAGTGTCAGACTATTTATGCAAATCTGAGTTCTAATGATATCCAGAGAAAAATCAGCCTAAATATTTTACATGATATAGAAAGTTATTTTAAAAGCTACTGTAAGAACTTCATCAACCCTCATCAAGTCCCTCTTTTAAAGAAATATGAATGAAAAAGAAAAGTTCATTTGTCTATTGTATTCATATATTATGAGTCTACTTCATCAACGCAGTTATCTGCAACACATTAAAATTAGTTTATAAATTATATCAACACCACCAGACAAAATACATATAGAATAAAAATACTAGGTAGAATTAATTAATTATAAAGATAGAACCACATCTCTCAGAATGCAATCCTAAGAAAGAAATAGCAATGAAGTGTCAGTGTTCATTCATCATGTGTAAGAAATGTGCTGCTCTTTCACAATGCGAATAATGGGACATACTATTTGTGTGGGGGTGGAGGCAGGGAGGGGCAGGGGGGTATGTGAGAAACCGCTCCACCCTTCTCTCAGTTTTGCTGGGAACCTAAAGCTCCTCTAAAAAAAATTAAGTCTATCAAAACAACAGAAAGGAAAAATAAAACAGAACAGCAACATAGAAAATTTGATAAAATCAATGTACTCACTATTTCTGCCGTATGACCTCTAAAGGTGTGGTAACACTTTCCTGTTTCTACACTCCACAGTTTACAAGTCTTATCAAAGGACCCCGTGGCAATTTTGTCACTAAGACACAAAGAACAAAATGGGGGTTTTGAAATCAAATTTAACTCTTTATAGGACACACTGAATTATGATATTAGTACGTGAATCTCTATGAGCTCAGAAATTTACTTGACTTCTAAAACAACATTCAATCCTACAATTTGTTTCATGGGTAACAAAATGCAGGTCTAATTTTTTAATGGCATCGTTTTGTACATTTAACTTTAAATATTTTACATTAAAGGTACATGTTTTGGATTAAAAATACACTTCACATAAGTACCATAAATACAGTGAAAGATTTAGCTTAGAAAATTACTAACAAATAAAAATTAATAATGTATAATAAGTTACATAAACATAGAAAAAAATCTGTTAGTAGGTCTTCTAAAAAAGGATAGCATTGCATTTACAAAAACAATGATAAAAGATAAATCCAATTAACTGTATGTCAGATAAGGTTTACTAAGTTAGACGGTGAGCGTCTCCTAGGGAAGATAATGCCTGCATTATTTCAGCTGTGAGGACTTGGAACCAGAAAGACGGTTTAGACAGGAGATGTGATAAAGACATCAGTCCCTTTCAGATAAGAGCCTTCCTATTTTATTGCGGAGCAGTGCTACTGTCGACACCCAGCAGAGAAGGGTAGATCAGCCTGTTCAACCCTCGACTGTGGAACTAAAACCTTCTCTTTTCCCCCTGACCCCATCTGTCCTTGATAGGAAGTCATCAATATGTTCACCCAACTAGGTTATTGTTCAAGGGCAAGCTCGTTGTTAAAAAGTGTGAAGGGTCTTAAGATCCAAAATATACATCCCAAAGCAAATCTAAGTGCTCAGCACAGCTGCAGAATTTCTGTTTGTTCAGACCAGCACAGTGCCTCGCATCTCTCCTCTCTTCTCAGGCCCCACATAGTACCCCTGTGGTCTCTGATACTCGGGAAAGGCGAGCCGCTTTGCGGGATGCTGCAGGGCCCGCTGCTCCGGGAAAACACGCCCTTCCCACCCGCAGGTCCTCATACACAGGCTGATTCAGCACCCGGAATCTCTGCCTGACTCTCTCCTGTGGCACCCAGTCTAAGACATCTCCCATCAGCGTCTCTCTTTCAAATTCTGTTCAAAATACCCGGAACGTCCTGGGAGTTTTTTTATCAGTTGTCTCCCTCCATTTTTCCATGCTCCCTGTACCTCAAACACATCAGTCTCAAGTTGCTTTTGTTTCTTGATCAATTTCTATCTTATCGCATACTGTTTTCTACATCCATATGATACCATGTCATAAAAGATGCTGACTCCATTGTTTTTTAGAATTACTATATTGAATCAAAGCTTACCCCTGGCCTAATACATTAAACAGGTAAACAGCAACCTAAAGGACTAAAGGAAGTTCATCTCTTTCTCTCTCTTTCTCTCTCTCTCTCTCTCTCTCTCTCTCTCTCACACACACACACACACACACACACACACACACACACAAACACTCCCTCTTATTCTTTGGGCAACTGCCTTTACCTCATTTTGCTGAAACCCCAATGTCCCAAATGGCAGTGGAAACGCCGCTGCAGCTCACATGTGAACAGTCAGAGTAAGAAAACTGAGAGCTGGACCAGTGGGTTTTTCACCAAGGGCTCTTGATAGAATCAAAAACAGGAGCCAGAAAGTGAGGAGTGCTTCTTGCCACTCCGTCCTCAAAGGCTTCATTCTCAGAGAGACATCCAAAAATATCACCTCTGTTAAGGAGACTATTAAAGGATATGGTATTATAGAGGGGATATTTTCAAAAGCCTTTAAATAACATGGCAATTAAAAGTAGAAATTATACGAGAAGTAAAACAGTATCATTTATAATTTCAATAAAAATTTTTCTCGCCCACAAGCTAGTATAATTAGGTATTATAAAAATTATCCTTCGCTACGATTTAAAAGTTATACATCAAAGTTAAATTTTCTGTAGTTTCATTGGAATAGTTAATCATTTTAACATACCAATGCAGTTTGATTGTGTCACTACAATTAACATGTTTAGAAAGTGTATTACATTTTCAAAAGAGATGACATTAGCCAGCTAGATATCAATCAAGGGTTTAATATTTGTGGTGTAAAATTCTTACTCTAGTGCAGCAAATTTTTATAAAATACCCTTTATTGCCTCCGCCACTCTCCTGGACTAAGTCTCCGTTGTCTCATGAAGGGGTCATTGGATCCTTGCCTCCTGTTTCTTCCACCGCCCTCGCCCAGCCCTCTGACCCCTCCTTCCGGCCAGGACAGTGCCCCCTCCGGCGCTCACACCTTCCGCAGCCACGCAGCCCTCCAGAGCGGGGTCCAGGCTGCACCCACGGCTCTGCCCTCAGCCCCGCTGCCTCCCGCCAGGGCCACTGGGGCCCCTGGGCGCGCCTGGCAAGGTCCCACTGAACGCCCTGAGCTGCCAGCGCCCCGGGCCCAGGGGTCCTCTGCACCCCGCTGCAGCTTCCCTCCCTCGGGCTTCTGTGGGAGGGGCCACGGCGACCTCTTAGCTTTGAAACCATTTGCTGTTTTGTTCCAGTCACCACACACTCTAATAAAGAACAATATTTATCAAGCCAACTGGATTAGTGGAGAAAGTCCATTAAAGCGGGCAATCATGAAAAAAAGATACGTTCGCTTAAATTTTTACTCAAATATGTACAAATATGCATTCGTTTGCCAATCTTTTGACAAGAGGCCAAGGCCTTTCCTTTGAATATAGGTCAGCTAATTATTCAATTCCTTGTCGGCCTGAGATAAGCCATATGCAACCTCTACGATTTCCAACTTTTTCTTTAAAATGCAATGAGAACTTAAACTTTAAAATATTTGCAAAACAATCTGAATACAGAATTTTCTACGATGTGTTTTCCATTTTTTCCATTGCTCTCATCTACAGCTTCAGTTAGTATTTGCCAATATTTACCTTTTCTGTGTTTTTATCAAAAAAACAACAGCGTCATTTTCACATTCATATTTCATTAGCTATAAGTAATATTTAATGAAACGACATAATTATAACGGAAAGCACAACCACCATAAGCAGGTTCACGGACCAATGCAACCAACCCTTGGCAAGCTTAGAACCCGCGGGAGGGCAGAGAAGGGAAGCGACCCAGCGGTTAGCCCAGCGGCTGCAAGCACTCAGGAGCCTGGCTGTCGGCAGCACGTGGTGCGGAAAGATAGAAAACCTGGTCGTCCACTGACTCCATGAACTACAGATCGGCTTAAAAATGCTTCTACTGTATTTGGTGCTGTTATTTAGCATGTTACTATCCACATTGCTTTCTACCTGGTAAAACCGTAAGTGAACTTCCAAAGTAAACCGTTTGGCCAATGCCTGTCACAGTCTCCAGAAGCACCAACCCAGGGCTACAAATACCAGCGGGGACTGCCCGTCAGGGAGCTCCCAAGGGCAAAGTCCGCCCTGCTTGAGCTTGTCTTGCTCTCCCCTTTACTGCTGTGTGGTCGGGGCGGGGACTTGAACTTTCTACACTTCATCGAGGACAGCAATCCCAATCCCTGAAGTCCTTTAAGCACTGGAAGTGGTATCTAAAAGGCTTTCAAAGCACAGACCAGGCACACAATACATTTCGGGTCTCGGTCTTCTTACTTTCCTCTCCCCCCGCCCCCGCCCCACCCAGCGCCCCAGCACCGATGGAGGAAGGGACGGTTAACTGAAAGGGTGGGTGAACAGGGAACGAGTGAGCGCGCTGGTACCCGTAAGGATTGTTGAAGGCTATGGCGTACACCACGTTCCTGTGCCCGTCCAGGGTGTGCAGCTCCTCGCCCGACGCCGCGTCCCACAGCTTGCACGTCCGGTCGTAGCTCCCCGTGATAAAGCTAAGGCGGGAGCAGGGATAAATCACATGGTGAGAAGAGCAGTGTGTTCACGAAGACCTCAATTTCACCTGCAAGGCCATAACCCCACTTACCACGCTTTTTACAATGGATACTGTGTGTGCAGAATAAACAGTTAAATTGGGAGCAGTATCTCAAGCCTTTGCCTTAGAAATTTTCCAATGTCATCCCAAACCCCAAAGGAGTCATTAAACAAAATATAGGGTAATCCTGCCAAGATCAGTCTTATAATAAAAATAATTATATTAAATAATGATCATCACTAACACTTTCTGCAGCTCTAGCATCAATCTTTCAGTTGGTCAGACCATAAAATCTTAGCATCATCTTTCATTCTTCTCTTCCTCTCGCAGCCCACACACAACCTATTAGTACATTCTGGTACCCCAACCCCTAAATGCAGCCCTGCTGTGGCCATTCCCACCAATTCCAGCGCCTCCATCTCTTGCCTAAGCAAATGAAACTGTCTTCTAATGGGTCTTGGCTCATGAATAGTCCTTACATGTGGATTTTTCTCACCAAAACTGGAGCTATTTTTTTAACTTTCCTCAAATGGCTTGCCAGCAATCTAGAGGAAAAATCCAAATGTCTGCCCATGGCGCACCAGGCCAGCAGCCCTGGCTGCCTCCCAGCAGCCACGTCCACCTTCTCGCTACTCTCTGGAGAACTGCGTTGTTTGTTTCCAATGTGCTAGTTCTTCTACCCCTGTGGTTCAACGCCATCACCCCAGGACCCAGAACATGGCTGGCACACTAACAAGTGTTCAATAAATACTCATTTAATGTTTAACAATTCTTCAACAGGACTATGCTACTAAAGGAAGAGGCAGTCTATTAACCTCTAGTATTTTAAAGTAAAATTATAGTATTTTAGTTATTTCTAACATATTCCATTAGGGATAGTATTTCTCCGACATGGAAAAACAGGCACCAAATTAAAAAGTGAGTCTGAATGTCAAGTGGTAATGATAAAAGGTGAACACAGATTCTGATGTTGAAACTCAACCAGGCAAGCAGGTTGAAAAGGCAGCCTATCTTTGATTCCCCTATAGGCACGTCCTTCCTCACTTCTTTTGAAATGTAAATGGGTAGAGTCATTATGGAAGACAGTGTGGTGGTTCCCCCAGATATTAAAAATAGAACTACCATGTGATCCAGCAATTGTACTTGCCAGTGGGTATATATATCCAAAGGAAATGCAATCAGAATGTCGTAGAGATATCTGCACTCCCATGTTCATTGCAGTATTATTCACAATAGCCAACATATGGAAACAATGTTAAGTGTTCGTCAGGGACGAATGGATAAAGCAAATGTGATATATATAATGGAATATTATTCAACCATAAGAAAGAAGGAAATCTGCCCTGGCTGGTGTGGCTCAGTGGATTGTGTGCTGACCTGGGAACCAAACAGTTGCCAGTTTGATTCCCAGTCAGGGCACACACCTGAGTTGCAGACCAAGTCCCCAGGTGGGGGCGTGCAAGAGGCAACCAACTGATGATTAATGTATCTCTGGCACATCGATGTTTCTCTCCCTCATTTTTCCCCATCCCTCCCCGCTCTCTAAAGATAAATAAATAAAAGATTTTTTAAAAATTTTTTAAAAAGAAGGAAATCTAGTTGTGACAATGTGGATGACCCTGAATGACATTATGCTGAGTGAAATAAGCCAGACAGGAAAGTACACATACTGTTTGATCTCATTTATATGTGAAATCTTAAAAAGAAGTTACACTCATAGGAGCTGAGGGTACAGCAAGAGTCACCAGGGGCTGGAGAGCAGGAGAAATGAGAAGGTGTTGGTCCAAGGTTACAAAGTTGCAATTATATAGGGTGAATAAGTCTAGATATCTGACATGCAGACATGATGACTACAGTTAATAACACTGTACTGATTACTGGAAATATGCTCAAAGAACAATTTCACACACAAAAAAGTAACTGTGAAATGATAATAGTTAGCGTGACTGTAGTTATTACTCCACTATGCATGTGTATATCAAATCATCATGTTGTACACCTTAAATATACACAATTTTTATTTTAAAAAGAAATTTTTACCCCTTGAATGCTAAAAATTATAAGTAATGGAAATATGTAGAAATAGAAAAATAAAAATAGAAATGAGTAGGCAGAGCCCAGAGTAAGTGTCCTCATAGGGCAGCAAAATTGCTCTATGTGATACCATCATGGTGGGTGCATGTCATTATACATTTGTCAACCCATAGGTTGTGCAAAGCCAAGAGTGAACCCTAAGGAAAACTAGGGACTTTGAGTAATAATGATGTGTCACTGTAGGTTCATCAGTTGTAACAAATGTCTGACATTTTGAAGGATGTTGTCAGTGGCGGAAGCTGTGAGGGTATGTGTGGAAAGGGAATATATGAGAAATCTCTTTATCTTCCTCTCAGTGTTGCTCTGAACCTAAAACTGTCCTATAAATAAAGTCTAATAAAATTATTTTTAAAAAATAAATAGAGAAGCTTACCAAGAGCCCGATTTATTAAGTGCAACGTTAGTCAGTGGCAGTATATGTGCTCGAAGAACCTTCAATGAAAGAAAATACCTCTTTTTAGCTTAAATAAAATTAAGTTTATTAATTAATTTAAGTTCAAACTATTAAAAATTCAAGTTTGTCTTAATTATATTAATAAATGGACAATATCTAATATCTAACAAATGGGGAAAAAATGCATTGTACCTTCTATTATTATGACCAATCATATATTTGGTAGTTATGCATAATCATGAAAATATAACTGAATTTGTGTTTTCCACTAATTTACCTTTAAAGGTAAATTATTGCCATTAAATAAGATATCAAATAGCACTAATTTTTAGTAGTCTTTTTACATAGTTCACATGGCTTTGTATATATGTGTGAACAGTATACAGAGGAAATACACTAAATAAGTTTACAATGTGTTATTAATTTTTTAATCTAAAGCTCTTTTAGAGTCAGGATATGTTTTATTCTATCTTTCAATCCCTACATTATCTAGATGCTTAATATTTATTGGACAAATAGGCATAAATTTAGATAGTCTGTTTATGGACAGAGTGGTAGGTTAGGCTGGGACAGTCTCAGTTATGTCTACTGCCGGAGCGTAACTACTAGTAATAGTGTTTTCTTTCATTATCAACAATATTCCCCTTGAAGGATAAATTACAAGGTCAAGCTTAGTTATAGCATTCATATTTGAAGTTAAATAGTGCCACCTGCTGGGCAAAGAAATGTTACAAGAATAACCTCAAATGGATGAACACAAAAGATTGCCTGAATATTTAGTATCAGATAGGATGTGCTGAGTACGTAAGTAATAACTATATTTTATTATAATTATATTTAAATTATACAAAGTAAAATCAATGTACTATGAAGCAATTCTAGAATAAACTATTAAATGTTAATAAAAAATAAAAGCTGTTCCTGAAGTAATAAGTGACTGCATTTGTGATACTTTTAATTTCATAATCAAAAACTATGGAGAAAAGTAAGCATAATTACATTGCATTAAATTGTTATATAAGCCATGTCAATAAATAATTTACTGAAACGTAGTTTCGCTCGGATGTACTTCTGAAATATTGATATGCTATGAAAAACAACTTCTTAATGTTAGTCTGACTGGAAAAAATAATTTTAATCATTCAATAACTTAAAGCTGCCTTAATGCTTATCCTTAAATGTTTCATTATAAAGAAAAATATATTTACTACAAATGTTTATCACACTTCAAGAAACAAATGTTTGAATTTCATTCATTTGAAAAACATTCACCTGGCTGGTGTGGCTCCAGTGGATTGAGCACCGGCCTGTGAACTGCGAGGTTGCTGGTTTGATTCCCAGTCAGGGCACATGCCTGGGTTGCTGGCCAGGTCCCCAGTAGGGGGCGCATGAGAGGCAACCACACATTGATGTTTCTCTCCCTCTCTTTCTCCCTCCCTTTCCCTCTGTCTAAAAATAAATAAAATCGTTTTTAAAAAAGAAAAGAAAAACATTCATTGAGACTTAGTCTTAGCAAATATATGTGAGGCACTGAGGAGAGGGGGGAAAACAAGATTTGTATTTCACCTCAAATGAATAGGACATCAGTGAATTCATTGAAGTTTTACCTCGTGTTCTTAAAGCACAGGTTACCTTGAAAAGATAGAATTGGTGGTTGCTGTGCTGCCCGAGTTTATCTTGTAATCTCTGTACTAAAAGTTTGACTTGGCCTGATCGCGACGCTGTGATGAGAGGTTCTGCTCTCTGTATCTCTTCTACTAAGGCATCCACATCAGTACTGAAATTCACAAGACGAAAGTTACTTTCCTCAGGCAGGAAGTCACATAAGCATTCATTACAGGAGGCTGCAATGTTTTACGAAGCGCAGCATTTATAAAATATCAAGATCATCATCATCTTTACCGAGAGATTTGTGGGGGGCGGGGAGAACCATGTGAACCAATACAAGGCACTGTGGCACGGACGGAGCCCGTGTGAGTTCTCCAGAACGTGCCTTCCTTACCCGAGGCTTCTCCCGTGGCGAACGGGGAGCAAAGATTCTCCTTTGCTTACCTACAGAAGGCCAAGTGCATACGGGTCCTGAACATGAGCTTTTTCTCTTAATTTTTTCCTTCTTTTTCTTTTAAATGAACGTGATTAAATGTTCCTGGTACTACTATACTTTCCACTTCATATGTGTTCTCTTGTTGAATCCTGTAACAACCCTCTAATTGAATGCTTTCATTTAACTGTTTTTGCAATTCAAAAAAAACAACAACTAGGTTTAGAAAGGTTGGGCTTTATATAGTTTTAAGGAAAGAGGAAGTACCTGATGAAAACTAAACATTCAAAGAAAAATGATGATATTAATTAATATTCCGCATTGGCTAGAACCTGATTTCCCTGAAAGAGTGCTGTTCTGACAAGTCTGGGTTCGCGGATTTCCCCAGTATTCAAATAATCAGAACAGAAATAAACCAGAGATAGTTTATAATGACAGCTTTGATAAACTCCAAGACAATCTGTTATTGAAAAAATTATACTTTCATGAGAATTAAAAACATAATAGTGCCTTTTGGGAAAGTTCCCAGCAAATATTAGGAATTGATAAGGCTTCCTAGCAAGATCTAAATGAACCAGATATTTAATCCATATATCCCAGCCCTGCAGTCCTATTCTAACTGCTATTTTCTGGAGTATAGTAACTCCAGTGTGTCACATATAATGTAAGTGTTTCTATGTGTAGAATACTTCCAGATTCTTGGGCAGAACTAGAAATAAGATATATACTTGTTTGAAAAAAAAAAAGTTGAGACATTTAATCTCTAACTGGAAGTTATTCTCTCATATAAAAGTTCATCTGCACCACTCACATGATGTTCATCGGTTTTGTACAAATTGTTTCTCATATTAGACAATAAGCCCATTGAGGTAGGAATTACGATTAGCATCTTTATAGCCTTGCATAGACTCTAATCTAGAGCTTTACATGTAAAAGTTGCAAATACATCATTATGGACCAAAAAAAAAAAAAAAAAAAAGAATGTCTTAACAGCAGGACTTTCCGCCTTTGGGCCTGATCGCAGAATAATATGTTCCCTTTACAAAAAGAGCAAAAAGACTTGATTTAATCTGAGGCCTGGTCTTCCCTGAAAACAGATTAAACAGGGATCGATGCAGATGAAATTCAATGACATTATCTTTGCCACTGTTTACCCTTTTAATTTTTTTTAAATGTCTTCTGAGGACCTTCTCTGGAATATCGCGGGGACCCCACCATAAACATCGATGTCTCAGCCACACCTGTTGTCGCCCTAAGACAGACTCCAGACACGGCAGCAGCTCTCGCCAGCCCAGCAGGCTGGATGGGTTTATTTTAAAGCTAGAGAGCAGCTCCTCTACCATTTAATTTTGGTTATGTGAGAGGTCCCTTTGCTGACAGTCTCTGGGCCCCTCCCAACAAATCAGGACAAAGTAAAAGGACAGTTACAGTGGAAAATCACTTATTTCTCTGGGGCACTTCTCTGAAACATACACTGCAGTAATTTTGTTCTTTTTCCCCTCCCATTTAGCATATCTCGACCTTATCTGAATGTTGGCTCCCACACGTACGATCACTGTTCTGATTCTGTCTCTTGAAGTGGAGTTTTGCGTAAGATTTCCCACAGGGGATGAGTTCTGGCCAATATCACCTCCCAGGGGGATTTCCTCTGGGCACAGAAGTTTCAGAGACAAAATTGGGTCCCCCGAACTGTGCCCCGTGGCAATTATTAAGGAAAATGGCATGAAGTCAGCCCTATGAAATGTGTATCCACTAAGAGAATAATACACTCAGTAATATTCTTAACATTTAATGACCAGTACTCCTCAACACTGTCAAAGTCATCAAAAACAAGGGAGGTCTAAGAAACTCTCACAACCCCGAGCAGGAGCCCAGCGAGACTTGACGACCAAATGGCATGTGAGATCCTGGAGGGGATCTTGGAAGAGAAAAAGAGATTTAGGCAAAAACAAATGAAAAAAATTAATAAAATAGTCTCTAGTTAATAATAACGTATCGACATTGGTTCATTAATTATGACAAATGTACCAAACTTTTAACCTAAGATGGTAATAACAGGGGATACTGAGTATGGGGTATGTGGGAACTTTCTTTTCACAACTTTTCTAAAACTATTCTAAACTGAAAGGTTTATTTTTAAGGAAGTTCTATTTAGGAAGAAAGAGCAGACTAATGATCCATTTTCCACCTCCTCCTCACTCAATAAGACACTCCAATAGAACTCACTGAAACAAACAGGAAATAACACACCACAGAACATTTTGAAAAGCAACGCATTGTCGGAAGTTATGTGGTTCATCCATACATCCCCCTGTGTCAGGGTTTTCCAATAAAACCTGGATATGAGCTACGTGTTGCACTGTAGAACTAGCTTACCTGGGACCAAGATCAAGCAGATCTATGGATTTGGTCTTCAGTTCTCCACTTTTCTCATACTCCAACATAATTCCTGTAAAAATAAACAAACATGCTATAAAACATTTATGATGGCAACTGATGTCGAAAGTTGATCTGTTTTGACAATTTGTTTTATTTTTATTTCTCAATTTTTTGAATTGTTCAAAACATATGCAGTGATGTCTAATTCTAAAACAAGAGTGTGTAAACTGTCTTTTTCTTGGTCATTCCTCTAAATACAACTAAGTACCCTTGAAATGATTCATCAGGAAAGATAAAATAATTGAGAGTTGTGTAGAAGGTGGACTGGCCAGAGCCCCCGAGACTTGCAGAATGACAATGTGCTGAACTCCCTGGATTTCCTTTTTATCTCCCTAAGCCCACAAACAAGGGACCAAAAGCACTTGTAGGCTGGAGCCACTAAGAGACATAAACAACAAAAACAAAAACAACAGCAACAAAAAAACAATACAACAACCACAAGAAAGCTTGCTTGCTGTGGCCAAAAGACCCAGAGAAGGGAACTCAGACAAAGAGTTGGTGGGGAGCCATAAGCACTGCTCCACAGCTTGGGCCCTGGGCCGTCTCAGTTCCCACGGCAAAGGTGCCCCTCAGCAGCTGTCTGATCCGCTGGCAGCAGGCACAGCAACAAGCCCCAGACTTTTCCAACATGTACACCTCTGTTGGGGCCCGGGTACCACCTCGCTTGTCTCTGGCAAGGCTAGGGAGGTCCCAGGATCTTCCAGACCCCTCTTCACAACCAGGCCATTGGTGGGCAGTGTCATCCACCTCCTAGAAGGGCAGCAACGAAGTCCCAGGATGTCCTAGATGCCACTCTACAGCCAGGTACCAAAGCAATGTCTCTGCCTTTCAAGCAGGGGCATAACCAGGGCCAGGGTTTTCTCCCCCAAACCCACGTCATGTGTGAGAACAGGCATATTGGGATAGACCTGCTGCCCCTGCAGGTGGTACCAGCAGAGAAGCAGCCTTGGCAGCACCAGAAAAACAAAGCGGACCAGGATAGCATCACAAGGCCTCAGAAAACCAAGCTGCTGTTGGAACTAATGCAAACCTGTGTGGGTGAGGAAAACAATGACTGCCGTTCAAGTTTGGGGCCTCAGCCTTAATCAGTAGTAAGGAATCAGCAGTTTCACCTTCCGCTGTTTCTGTACTATTGTGCAAGTGTCAATACATTGAAAAAGCAAATGACATTGTTATTATGAAAAAAGACTTGACCCTGAGGCTGCCCCTTTGAAGAGATTCAAGGGCCCCTACAATTTAAGAATCACTACATAATTTGAATATAACAGATGTCAAATTAAGCTAGTGAGTTAATTATAATGATATTATATTTCAAATTTTGAAAATTTACCAAATATTATAACAAACTATTTAACCATAAAGTGTGGTTCTGATGCAAAATTAGATCAATGTAATAGAATCACCTTAATATGAGAAATCCTTTTATTTTAAAAATTAAGCTAAAGTAATATTTGAAATCAATGGGGAGAGAATGGATTATTCAATAAATAGTAATTTAATAATCAGCTGAATTTCAAAACAATAAAATTATAATTCTACCACAAGATGTACAAAAATGTATTCTAAGCTTATCAGGAATTTTAGGGACTTCCAGGCAAGGTGGAGGCATGGGTGAACATGCTTCATCTCCTAGCACAACCACAGAAAGAATTACAACTAAACCTCAAAACAAATAACACCCAGAACTGTCAGAAAATCGAAGTTTTCTGTTTTCATAAAAATTGTTGCCATTTTAATGTTCATAGTTTTGATCTTTTTCTTAAGTAAGTCCCATTAATTTTTCATGTATTAAGGTCTTGGTGATGATGAACTCCTTTAGCTTTACCTTGGCACAGAGTTAACAACAAAGGAGTTCCCATAGGATTATCAGGCGATCTCCCAAAAGAAACTTTGCAGGCAAGAAGGGACTGGCAAGAAATATTTAAAGTAATGAAAAGCAAGGACCTACAGCCTGGATTACTCGATCCAGCAAAGCTACCATTTAGAATGGAAGGGCCAATAAAGTGCTTCCCAGCCAAGGTAAAGCTAAAGGAGTTCCACTGCCTGGAAGTCCGACAACCAATGTTCAAATGTGATTTAAACAGCCACATTCATCCAGATATGTAGGAGGGGCAAGGTGGGGAGGAGGCCCGGTGAGGTGCAGAGGGGTGGCCGCAGCGGCAGAACAGGCAGCCCCACGCCCACGTGTGGTGGGTAGAAATTGGGAAGGATACACTGGGAGCGAGCAATCGCAGCCCCAGACCAGCCTGCACAGCCCAGGGTTCCAGCACCAGGAAGATAAACCCCCACAACTTCTGGCTGTAAAAACTAGTGGGGGTTAGAGCAATAGAAGGGACTGCCAAATTTTCAGGAAATTCCCCTTAAAGGACCTGCAGTGACTTAAACTGTATGCAAACCCACTCTCTCTGGGATTCAGCACCAAGGCAACTGCTGGAAAAGTGCCAGTCATATACAGGGAGTGGGTGAAGTGACTGGAAACAGGACAAGTGCCAGGCAAACCACCAGAAGCCAGGCAGCAGCACTGTCCCCTCTCTGAGCACCCTCCACACACACACGGAGCCACAAAGTGGTGAAGAGGCCGCCCCACCCTGGCGATTACCTAAGGCTCCACCCCACACAATTTACAGGTCCTTTTTCTACAATAGGCCATGATACCAGGGCAGGGGGTTAAAGCAGCTCTACCTAATACAAAGAAACACAGGAAGGCTGCCAAATTGAGGAGACAAAGACATATAGCCCAAATGAAAGAACAGACTAAAACCCCAGAAAGAGAACTAAACAAAATGGAGATAACCAACCTATCAGGTGCAGAGTTCAAAACACTGGTGACCAGGAAGATCAAAGAACTCATTGAGTACAGCAACAACATAATGGAAGAAATGAAGGTTACACTAAATGAAATAAAGAAAAATCTACAGGGAACCAACAGCAAAGGGGAGGAAGCTAGGATTCAAATCAATGTTTTGGAACATAAGAAAGAAATAAGCATTCAACCAGAATAGCAAGAAAAAAGAAAAATTCAAAAAAAATGAGAATAGTATAAGAAGGCTCTGGGACGTACCAACATCAGAATCATAAGGATACCAGACAGAAAAGAGGAAGAGAAAGAAATCAAAAACTTATTTAAAAAAATAATGAAAGAAAACTTCCCTAATTTGGTGAAGGAAATAGATATACAAGTCTGGGAAACACAGAGAGTCCCAAACAAGTTGGACCCAGACAGGACCACACCAAGATACGTCATAATTAAAATGCCAAAGATTAAAGATAAAGAGAGAATCTTAAAAACAGCACAAGAAAAGCACAGAGTTACCGACAAAGGAGTTCCCATAGGACTATCAGGTGATCTCCCAAAAGAAACTTTGCAGGCAAGAAGGGACTGGCAAGAAATATTTAAAGTAATGAAAAGCAAGGACCTACAACCTGGATTACTCTATCCAGCAAGGCTATAATTTAGAATGGAAGGGCAGATAAAGTGTTTCCCAGCCAAGGTAAAGATAAAGGAGTTCATCATCACCAAGCCCTTAATACATGAAAAATTAATGGGACTTATTTAAGAAAAAGATCAAAACTATGAATATTAAAATGGCAACAAACTCACAACTAACAAAAACTGAATCTAAAAAACAAACCAAGCAAACAACCAGAACTGGAATAGAATTATAGATATGGAGATCATTAGGAGGGTTATCAGCTGGGAGGGGGAAGGGGAGGAATGAGGGGAAAGGTGCAGGGATTAAGAAGCATCATTGGTAGGTACAAATTAACAGGGGGATGTTAAGGCTAGCATAGCAAATGGAGAAGCCAAAGAATTTATATGCATGACCCCTGGTCATGAACTCAGAGGGACGGCTTGGGGGAAAGGGGATACCAGGCGGAGGGGTCAAAGGGAGAAAAATTGGGACAACTGTAATAGTATAATCAATAAAATATATTTTAAAAAATGAAAATAATACATAAATAAATTTCCTTCCTTGAATTAAAAAATAAATTTTAATATTAAGAATGAAATATAAAATGGTCTAAATAATGGAGTATAATTTTAATTTAGTGTTTGTAATTGGAATTTTAAGCATGATGTGAAACTCAACAGCTAAAAAAGAAAAAAATTGATGGATTTGTCAGAAGTATTTTAAGCTTCTACATAGTAAAAGATACCACAAAGTAAAAGCTAAGAGATAATCAGAAAAATAATTTTAAGTGTAAATACAAAGCTTAAAGAACTTCATATAAAACTCAAATAATGTTAATTTTAAAAAATGGACAAAAAGCACGAAAGGTCAATTCGCCAACAAAGAAAAACAATGATCAATAAGCAGACCAAAATAAAATGGCCCCAACTTCAGTAAGAAACACAAACTAAAATAAAAGATACAATTTTATCCATCAGATTAGCAAAGATTGCAAGAGCTGATAACACTCAGTATTAGCGAGATGAAGAAGCAGGCGTTCTCACTTACTGTGGGCAGGCACAGCAGGTGGCTCCTAGCAAGGGGCCATCACGCCTTCACTGGGTTAAGGGTGGGCTTAACTATCCTTTTATGTATTTTTCACAATTTGGTTATAAGTAAATATTACTTTTATATTTAAAAAGTAGGAGAAAAATAAGAACATGGAAGAAAAGGAAGGAAATGATAGAGGTCAACATTAATAGAAAAGAGATTCTTAAAGATCAGAATCCCCGTAAAGTTGACTGAAAACTCCAGAGAGGGTACTTGGAAACATATGGTATATCTATCAATTTAAAGCATCATTATCATCAAGGACTCTGTGAGTTTAAGTTTTTTTGCAGTATATATGATAATACTCAATAGTTACTATTTATTATTGAGAAAAATAAGCATTCAATGAACAGTTGAGTAAATAAATGATATAAACAATGAATAAGCAATATACCCATGATCTGTAACCCAGGAAGAATAGCATTTGACACCCCACACAGCATAATCTAACGTCCACAGGAAATAAAGTTTAAAAATATAGCAAACAAACTTACCCAACTCCACTTTCATTATTCACACCTATCTTGTTTCTAATGAAATGAAAAATGTTGCAAGTCTCTGGGCTGACTACTAAAAATTAGTTGGGCTAATATACAAACGAATCTGAAAACTGAACTACAAAATCTGAAACACGTGCATTAACTTTTTCACTGTGCCAGACACCTAGGCAGGACAGACAGCCCCCTTCTGTGACCGCTGAGCTCCAACGTGAGTGGGGGCTGTGACACAGGCAGTAAAGAAAATGCTCATAAAATAGACAAAGATGTTCCTGAACACATGTAGCTCTTCAGTGATTGTTTCCCACAGGATCTGAATAATCCTCATCTCCCCCTGGTTGTGAATTATGATTCCACAGGTAGAATTCCCAAAACACCTGGTTAAGGAGCCACTAACCCCAATATTCTCCAATGTACTAAAAGGCTAAGTTTCAAAAGATGTGAGTATTCTTTACCCAGATCATATTCAGTCAACAGAAACCTTTAAAGTGCTGATAACATTCATCGGTTTAATTAATGTTTATTTAATTCCTTCTCCTGGCCATAAAACTAGGGACTGTACCCAAGAAGGAAGACAAAGGCTGTTATAACTGAGTCAGTGGGAAAGCATGTATTCAACACCTACTCTTCATGAAGTGAAGTGCTTATGAATTAATGAATGTAACCCAGATAAAAAGGAAATGCTCTATGTTTGATTAGCTGTGTTATTGCTCTGTACCCTTAGTCAGGAATTTAGGTAGAGGGAGGGATCAGTTAGTGGATGCCAACAAGACAGTGCTCCTGGCCTAGACATTATTCAAAGGAAAGTGGGAGGACTGTAATTAGAGGATTTGGAGGTGAAACAAAATTGCTGTATAGACCAGAAGAATAAAGGTAGCATGGAGATGATTCAATGGTGAGTGACTTTTTTCCTATTTTATAATGTTATTGCAGCACCCACCTGCTATTCAGGGAAATTTGCATATAATACATGCTCACCAAAGACTGGAATTTGGACGTTAAGTGTTTCGCATGCTAAGTGATATGCCCTCATTAGAAGGTAATCATTAAGGCGGCAGTTGCAAAAATGAGTCTAAAGCCTCACTTGAATCGGATTGCTGTTAGATCCCTGGACTTTCCTAGCCAGAATGGACCTTGGAGACCTCTCCAACCCATTCACATTTCAGGTTGAGTTCTGGGCATTCCACTTAACACACGCTATCTCATTAAACTCATCCCTTCATTCAACAAATATGTAAGGGCCTATCTATGCACTGTGCTCCATTTGCAATGCTAGAGATACAATAGCAGGCAAAATAGACAAAATCCCTGCCCTCATGATGCTTTTGTTCTAGTTGAGGAGACTAAAATAAATAAGTAACATGATGTTAAAAATGAGATAATGCTAAGAAGAGGTAAAGTAAGGAACGGGTTATGAGATATCTTGAGAAGAAATTGGAAATTCTAGAAAGAGAGGATTCACTTCACTACTTACTTTTGAGGAAAGAGCTAAAAAAAAGTGAGAAAAGGTGAGTGCTGGCTATGCAGATGTTCAGGGGAAGCTAACCTCAGTGGGAATAAAAACAACACCAACAAAAAAAACCAACAACACAGCAACAGCTGGGGCTCTGAGTCGGGGCACAACTGGCCCATCCAAGGCACACCAAGGAAAAGTGGTGTTGCTGGATCTGGAAACGATGTCAAGTCAGGGAGGCAAAAGTCGGGGAGGACCCTGTAGGGCCTTGGAGATTATAGCCTCAGAGGTCCTGGCCCTTTTACTTTAAGTAAAGCCACTGGAGAGCCAAAGACTGACATGACCACGTGTTTATGGTGATGCTGGTACAAACAACCCTACTGGCTGCCAGTCATATACAAGTGTAGCACATATAAGTACATACAGTGCATAATATTTGATAATGATAATAAATGACTATGTCACTGGCTTATGTATTTACTATACTTTTATCATTATTTTAGAATGTACTCTTTCTACTTATATTTTTTAAAAAAATGTTTGCTGTAAAACAGTGTGCTGTGTTATGCCAGCAGCAGCTTCATACATCTGTGTTTACCATGTTTCTTGATTGCATCATTTCCTCTTGTGCTTGATTTAAACTTGCGTTGTTTTGTACAGTAAGATGTTATGAAAGCTTGTCGTCTGGGAGCAATAGACTTCACCATCTAGCCTAGGTGTACAGCAGGCTAGACCATCTAGGCTTGTGTAAGTGCACTCTATGATGTTCCCAGAGCAACAAAACCACCTAGGGACCCATTTCCAGAATATATCCCCATCATTGAAGGTCTATATGTATTTTGAAGGTGAGCTGGAAGGACTTGTTACTGGACCTAATGTAGAGTGTACAAGAGAGGAGGAGAGGAGGAGCCCAAGGTTTTGGCATGAGCCGCAGGTGAGAAATGGAGCTGCCATTGACCTAGGCGAGGAAGACCACAGGAGGCCCGGGTAAGATGCATACTCGTCATCCGAATGAAGAATCAGGCCGGCAGCTAAGCACTCAGGGCTTCCCAGGGTGTTCTGAAGCCTTGAGAATAAATGAGATCACCTAGCTAGTCTAGTGAGTACAGATGAAGAAACCCAAGGACAGAGCTCTGGGACACTCCAACATTAAGATCAAAACAAAAGAGGAGAAGTCAACGAGATGGACTGAGGAGTGACAATGAGGCAGAAGACAGAACAGTGTGTCCTGGATGCCAAAGGAGGAAAGAATGGACAAACAGGGCGAATGCTGCCGTTCAGTCAAAGAAAGGCAAGGACTGCGATGCTGTCAGGGGATTCAGCCATTTGGAGGTGAATGGGGACCTTGAAAGGGGCAGTTTCAGTGAAGCAGTGAAGGTGAAAACATGATAGCATAGTGGTTGGGGCAAAAGGGAGAAGAGAAATCGGAAACAACATGCTTTCAAGGCGGTTTGTTCTGAAGGGAGTGAGACAAATGGCAGAGTAACTGGAAAGGGTCAGCAGACCTGGAAGACGGGTGCCACTATCACCCTCGGACTGACCACTCAAGAGGTCCAAACAAACTGCCGAAGTAGCTAGATTTTGATATGGTAGTTACGATCCCAGAGCTCAGAGCCTTGACCTACATTCCACAACAAAGGGACGAAAGCAAGACATTCATTTATCATTCAAGACATATATTTATGGGAATGAGCAACAGACGATGCTCAAGCAGAGCCAAAATCAGGTTGTGGAATGCTGAAAGAGAACAAGTTGTTAATGTTCATTTAAAATTTTCTATAGACTACCTCTCCCATCCAGAGCCTTTTTGTGTTGCTTTAACTGGAAGTCTAAAAGGAAGAAAATGAATGTCTTTCCTACAAACGTTCACCTCACTTTGGAGAGAGTCGCAGGCCAGGTCCGCTCTTGCCAGGAGACCTGAGCTGTTTTTTCATTGGGCCAGTACAGGTGGTCGTCTACTGCCTGCGGCAAGTTTTCCAGACTTTTTATTTTCGTTCCTATTTTTCCTACGGTGAGTTCTGAGTTAGAAGCCAAGAGTTCTCCTATTTCTGTCCCTCACAAGCTGGTTGACCAGTGGCCTTCAAATAGTCTGTAAAGGTGACCGTATCCTCACCTGTGGAAACAAGAGAACTAGGCAAGTTTATCCTACTGAAACTAGAGCATTCTAGGGGCTTATTTCATTATTCCCTTAACTCACCGGAAACAAAGCCTGAGACCTTCTTTAAAGACCCGTCGCACGGAGCGCAAAGCACTGAGGCGGCAGGCCCTCAAATAAAGCGTCGATGGATTGATATGGCAGTTTGGAAAACAGTCACTAACGTAGTGCTATGTTGAGCGTGCGTTTTCTTTTCAGACTCAACACACCTTGGCTTGTGTAAACTAAAAACCACTGTGGCCCTCGCGGGTGTCTTCCCTCGCAGACCAATAGCCCAGGACATCGCCAGTCACCACCTGGCCCTCTGCATCCGCGCAGTGCTCACTAGCCAGAAAGCACTCCAACTCAGCAATGTAAAAGTTTCAAGACTTCCCAAGAGAGTCGTTTTTAAAGTTCTGAGTCCAGGATCTGAGAGAGTGAAGAGGCTGCGCAGGGAAGCGCCCTGCTTCCTGACCCACAGGATCCCCTATTCTTGGGGCGCGCCGCTCTCTCGGTCCCCGCACCCTCTTGCACAGCAGACCCGCCCAGCGCCGGAGTCCAGGGCCCCACAGGAGAGCAAAGGGGGTCCGGCCGATACCTGGAGGATAATAACGGAGCAGGAGGCTCTTCAGCTTCATCTTCTCGCTCCTCGACCCCACGCGGTTCCAATTCGTAGCCCTGGAAACGGCCAAACAGCAGCAGGACGCCGGGGCGCATGCGCGAGCGCTTAGGCGGGCTCCCGGGATGCGGAACCTGGAGCCGGGACTCGCCGGGCGCTGCTTGGGTCGCAGGTGACCGAGGGCAGAAGGGGAGTCCTGGTCCAGTGATACGCGGGCAGGGAGCAAGATCTGTCCCCGCCGTCGCCCGCATCTGCCTGGGGGTGCCTGGGGTCAAGCGGGGGCTCCACGGCACGGCGCCAGGACAGCGCTCCCCACCCCGTGTTGTCGCCACCTGAATCTGCTCCCCTGGGTGCCTGGGGTGGGCAGGGGCCAGGTCCCCTCGTGCCCTTCGTAAGAGTGACCTCATAAGGGCAGTCGCGCAGCCGGGGACCCCCGACCTAGGGCATGGCCCGGGCTGCGAGCCCTGTAGCCCATTGGGTTCAAAGAAGCAAGAATGGGAGAAAAATCCCTTAGTCGGTTTCCATTCCCGCTTCCCCCTCATGCCCTGCCCCTGTCCCCACAAAACAAAAATGGCCTCAATGTAACAGCCTGCAGTTGCTGGCGTGGTGCCATACCCTGCACTGCGTGTGTGTGGACCTGTACTCACAGAGCCTTAACAAAGGTATGAATTGTGCACCCCTTATACCACCCCATCTCAAGGATGAGACAACGGAGAGTTAGAGAAGGTGGAGAACTACCCCAGGTCTAGGTCTAGCGAGCGGTGGAGGGGAAAGTGGTGTCAGAAGCCTGGCTCCGCGCTCTCAACCCCGGCTCTCCAGGGCCGCCTTTGGCCTGTTCTGTTTCTCACCACGATCACCAGTCCCTTGCCTGCCACCTCCAGTTTCCATCAGGAAGGCTGTGGACAGGAACAGGAAGAGTCAGATAGGCAGATTGTCAATTTCCTTGAAATCTGGCCTCCAAGTCCCCAAGTAGGAATTTCCCAAACATAAGCAATTCCTGCACCCAACTGGGCCTCATTGCTTCACGGAGTCAGAAGGGACTAAAGGTGTCCTACTCTGAGCACATCATGAGAAAGCAGAGTTCTCTGGAAAAGACAGTAATGCTAGGAAAAATAGAAGACAGCAGGAAAAGAGGGAGACCACATACACTCCATAAAAGAAAGCATAGGCCTGAGTCCACAGGAGCTGAGCAGGACTATTGAGGACAGGACACTGAACATTGCGCATTCATAGGGTCACCAGATTTCGGAATCAACTCAACGGCATGTAACATACTCGAAAGGTTGGAGAGATGGAGGACCTGGGAAAGCCTTTGCTACTCAGTGATACAAATGAGCAGCACAGAAATCATCTCACCCCATCGGCAGTAAGCACCCACATTTGGGAAATGGGAAGCCAAGTGAAATCTAAGAGGCCGTCTAGCTCCAACTTCCCCCTAATCATGAAGACTCTGAGAAAGTTCAAGTAGGGAGGGGCACAGAGTTCATCTCGAGAAACAAGGGACTCTTTAGCAGATTTTGTTCCCCCATGTTATTGCTTAAGTTCATGCCATTTAAAATTGGGCTTTGGAAAAATAGTAACTTAACAGTGGAGAAATCTGGTAGACACCATTTAACCATGTGATCAAATTTAACATCCCCAGGATTGGGACAAACTGACATCTGTACCACCTGTCACAATGCACTGAAAAGGACACACAAATTTTCTGAGGTTCCTGCCTGGAATCATGAGGAAACATCAGAACAAGCCAAATAGGAAAAAAATGTTCAAAATAACTGTCACAGTCAAGAAAGAAAGGACAGACTGAAAAACTTTGTCAGATTAAAGAACAATAAAGAGATTTAAAAAAATAAAACAAAAAACCTAAATGAAGCTGAGTGATCTTGAGATCCTGAGCCAGAAAAAAAAAAAAAAAATTAGCTATAAAGGACATGATTTGGACAACTGGGTGAAATGCGAATACAGATTGGAGTTTAGATTTTATTAATATTATAGAAATACAGTTTAAGTTCCCTGATTTTGGTTATTATTCTTTGGTTTTATAAGAGAATGTCATCCTTAAAAAACACTCAGATTTATTTGGGGATAAAGAGGTATAATATCTATAATCAACTCTCAAATAGTTTTGAAAAAAATTATATCTAAGTGTGATGTGTTTTTGGAAGGGGTATGTGTAACTGGATAGGTAGGTTGATAAGAAATGAGAATGTCAATGAGCAAAATGTTGACTCTAGACAAAGGATTTCTTTTGAGAAGTTCCTTGTTCTACTTTTGCAACTTCTCCATAAGTTTGAAATTATTCCAAAATAAAAAGTGGACTTTGTTTCCCACTGTTCAGAACATTACAAGATACAGATGACAATCAAACTGTTTGGTTCCACTTCTGTTTTGTTAAGAGTCCCAAGTTCAAGTTCACTCCCTGTTTCACCCTGATTCCACCTCCATCATCCTCTAGTTATGGAACCAAGAGTCTCTATGATTATTGCCTACACTTCCTCACTCTCTCCATTTCTGGGATTTCCCCTACTTCCTTGAACCAAACTTACAGGTTGTCCTTTTAGTTCCTATAAAAAGGATTCCAGCTCTGCAAATTTTGACATCTCTCTCTTGGCTCAAGAAACTGAAGGCAAGTTCTCCCACATAAGCAGATCATCCTAACTACCTCTCCGCCATCTCCAGAGCCCTCTTTATTAACTCTGGGGCCCAGGCCCTTGGAGGTGAGGCCCCGCCTCCCCACGGCCTGTGCACAGCAGAGGTCAGTAACACTCAGTTTCACCTTTACCTGACAGTTATTTGTCTGGCCGTCCAAGCACTGTGACTGTCTGTTGTTTCTAGAGTTCTCCTCATAGTTTCTCCCAAGAACCTATGCCCTCTATGCTCACAGGACTCCCACTGTTCTAACTTGCAAGCCCAGAATCTTTGTCACAAGTACCCAATATGTGTCCCGCCCCTTTTCCTAGGAAGACAATGGGGTTGTATGCAGGTGAAATAGCAGCCCAGAGAGAAGCAATAAAGTTCATGAGTGCAGACAGATTTCTCTTTTGGCCTTGGCTTAAGCTGAGGTTAAATCTGTGCTTAATTGACTCACCATTGACTCATTCCTGGAAGCTGCTGTGTGAATCTCTCAACCTGAGTAAATGGTTGTTTCATTCTAAATTGGCCCCAATTAGTTATGAATGATGTACAGAAATATGCAAAGCCAAAGCCCCATGAGCCCCACGTGATGGGTGCTCATCCCAGTGTGTGGCTGACTTGGTGTGACTTCCTCAGGAGCCTACTGCAGAGACCTTCCTAACACTTTTAATCAATTCATGGCATTCTCTGTTGATTTGACCACTGACACACTCAATCAACAGTTGCCACTCATACCGATTTGCACAGATACATGGAATATTTGACTCTGGGTTTCTTCCCACTGAGACCTGCCTCAAACAACCAGAAACTAAAAAACTAGTAACATTAACTTTTCTCCCCCAAACCATTCATTCTTGTGCATTGAAGCCACTCTGGGTTTCCTTTTTCCCAGAGTGTCCCTGGGCCAGCAGCAGCGTCAGTATCAGCTGGGAACTTGTCAGAAATGCAAATCCTTGCCCTACCCACCACCTACAGAATCAGAAATGCTGGTGGTGAGGTCCAACAATCCATGTTTGAACAAGCTTTCTGGGTGATTCTGATGAATGATGAAGTTTGGACACCCCTGCTCTGGTGTAGTGAGTTCATTGGCGTGGCCAGAGCTGAGCAAATCTATGCCCTCTTCCCCTATGATCAGGCCTTTCATGTACTCTGAACAGTCTTTCTTGATTGCCAGGGACAGTGAGTTGGTTGGTTGCTCAGCCACACCCCAGGATGTGAATAAGACACAGAAACAACATGGGAAAAAAGTGGAATTCCATAACTAATTGGGTTTTAGATGCTCCAGTGCACCAAGAAAGACTGAGGGAAGGATGAGAAGGTCCCTAGGAAGGAAAGCATGGACGGGGGACCGGGACAACTGGGAGAGGGAGAGAAGGAGGGTGAAGGGCAAAGGAAGGGAGGCAGGAGTCAGCCCTGGGGATTCGGAGTGGGCACTGAGGGGGGACAGGGGGACAGGAGTTCCAGCCGCAGGGGGACTTGGCGATTTCCATGTGACCCAGCTCCTCCTGGAGAGAGCCATGGCATCAATCAACGATGGACTGTGTCACTTGCCTTTGGGGCAAGTAACACGGTCACTTGGAGTAGATAAAAATGTGACACAGTCACAAGCAGTAGATAAAAAAGGGAGACTCTCCTGGATTGAAAAATAGAAAGAGGAGATCTGGGTGTCCAGAGTCTGGCAGCAGAAGTCAGCTGTGCAGACCCCCAAGAAGAGGGGCTTAGGGGCACACTGATGCCACGTCGCTTGCTACCTTATTCCCACGCCAGCCTCCGCCCTACTGAAGCACTCACAAATTATCTGATCTTGCCTGGAGCCAGAAAACTGGCCGGGCCAGGGGCTGCTAATTGAATCATTCAATGAGTATGTATTGAGGACCTATGAATGCCAGGCATGTTTCAGGTGTATGGGACCTAATTCTAAAATACTATGTTTCAGGGAAATCACTTGTAGAAAGAATCAGACTTGACTTCAGGCAGACTTGGAACTATTGCAGTTATGCAGAGGGGGGCCTATCTCTAGACCACATTTACATTCACTGATGGGATCCTACTGAGACATGCAAGTCACCCCAGTAGGGCCGAGAAAAAACAGCTTTTCCATTTGTTCTAATTCCTTAGAGCAAAATACCTGCCTTGAAGCCTGGCTCTACCATCTAACCAGCCTTGTGATCTGGGGCTAAGTTCATATCCCCTATGGTTTCAACTTCCTCTCTGGAAAGAAATGATTGCAGTTTCCAATTAATAGAGTTGGTGTTGTTGACTCTTGCTCCTTCAGAAATTCTCCATAAGTATTAAGAATCGTGAAGATAACAATAAGTATTTATTAACTTAAGGTTGTTTGTTTGAAATTGGAGAAAGGGTGTATGCATATTGTTCCCATCTAAAAGATAATCTAGATCAACAATGACTCTGGTA